ATTAACTTACCCGTGACTTACCCGTGAAAAACTTTCACGGGGCCGTACGTGTTACCCGCGGGTAAGAGAAGACTGAATTCGAGTGGACAAGGTTGAGGGTGGGCAGGGGGTCATTACCCTAAAATTTCAGCCTCCTAGACTCCGTGATTCCCGAGATATTAACTTACCCATAAAAAACTTTCACAAGGCCGTACGCGTTACCCGCGGGTACGGGGAAGCTGAATTCAAATTTGCGGGGTCACACGTGGGTGGGGAACGTTACCCTAAATTTTCAGCTTCCTAGCTTTTGTGGCTCCCGAGTTGAAAGTTGCGGTGGGGAACGTTACCCTAAATTTTCAGCTTCCTAGCTTTTGTGGTTCCCGAGTTGAAAGTTGCGGACCAAGTTGCTGCGGACACACACACACACACACAAAAACACACAGATAAAACACACACTGCTGTTGCACAGCACAAAACGCATAAAAAACAGCAGGTTAATGTGAACTCTAAGCTTGAACTTTTGATACAAGATTGTTGAAATCTGGATTTATATCACTGACACAGAGTTTCAAAGTATTTTCCAAACTGTCATTTGTTAGCCTCATGCGTGTTTTAGTTTTATTTTCGTGAAAGCGCAGAGACGTGGCGGAATACAAACCCTCGTTTGTCTAGGCAGGCACCACATTCCGATTCCCTCCACAGACTGGATTAAAAATGATCGCAAACCGGTTCCGGCCCGCGCACCCGCGGTTACCCCCCGCCCCCTCTCCCCTTCCCTCCCCCGCTTGTGGTCTACACCTATATAAGCCGCACAATGGACACTCACGTCCACATGGTCCTCGCGTATAAGCAAGTAAAAAATTTTTTGGTTGGAAGGCAATTTCGGGAATCAGGCGAGCTAGAAAGCTGAGACTTTAAATCTGACCTAAAGAACCGAAATTAAGTTTTCACCCAGCCCCGGGTCTCAAATGCGTGCACATCAAAACGAATTGGTGTCACGCCGACTCGAGAACTTGAATAGAAAGTTGCAGAGAGGTGTAATTTTATGACGTTACTTGCCGTCCTTTGATGTGTTCGTAAAAGCAAATTGAATTTTTCTGTCCCTCTGCATCTCATGTGAATTTTAACATGAACAGTTTTGTAACTTCGGAACTAAAGCAGGTAGAGGGCTGAAACTTTCTGAGCATGACCGACGATCGCGCTTGAGCAGGTGGACGTGGAAACAACTTTCACGTGCCTTTTGTACATCTCACGTACGAACGCATGAATTTTGATGTAATTCCACAGCCGAAGCAACTAGAGCACTAAAATTTTCTGTACATGACTTGGGACTGTGTCTGGGTAGTCGTGCTTAAAAAGAAAATTCGCATTTCCTCTCACTTACGAACACGTAGGATTTGTTGTAATTCCGTAAGTAGGGCAGCTACACTGCGGAAGATTTTAGAGCACGCCTCAGGATTGCTTGTGGGCATATGCGTATTAAAAAAAAAAACTCACTTTTCGTGCTACCCACGAGCACGATAAGTTCGACGTAACTTGCGACTAAGGCAGTCAGTGTGCTGAAATTTTCTAAGCTTGGCTCTTAGACATGTTCGGGCTGGTTCATAGTAAAAATAAATCACCAGCACACCGACTGCCGGTGCGGAAATGCGTTTTTTGCATAGTTTCCCGCAGTTTTTGTTGCTACGGGCACCGGTTTTTCCGGCAGATGGTTCTAGCTAGGAGAATTGAGACTGGCCACCATGGCTGTCTGGAAACATCCCTTCAAAATTTCAGCTTTCCTGGTTCTCGAGTTAGCAATTTACCCGGTGAAAACTTTCACGGGCCATACGTGGGAGCCACGCATGCGCGGAGACTGGGTTTGAGTTCACTAATACCTTCTTGGGCGGGGAACATCCCTTTAAAATTCCAGTCTTCTAGCTTTTCAGGTTCTGGGGTTAGCAACTTACCCGAAAAAGACTTTGGTGGGTGCGTACGTGGGTGCCATGCGGGTAAGGGCGCCTATTTTGAAGATTTTGGTCCGTACACGCATACAGATTAAGTTCCCAAAGTTTCAGTCCTGCAGCTTTTGTAGGTCTCGAGATGAAAAATCGGTACAGACGCACAGCGCGCACACAGACAACCCCTCGTCAATATGCGTTTTCTGCACTGCGTAGATGCAAGAAATGCGTAAAAAACTTCCTTGTTCCGCTCACCTACGAGGAAGTAAAATATGGCGTAACCCGCAACAAAAGCAGCTGAAGTACTGACGTTTTCTTTGCATGATCCAGAACTGTGTTTATTGGGAATCATTGTAATAATTTCTGACCTTTCTCAACTCCTTTAGCTAGAAGCATCTGCCGGGAAACCAGTTCCGTTAGTGACAAAAACTTGCAATGGAACTGCGCAATAAACGCATTTTTGCACCGGCAGTCGATTCGCTGTCGGCTAGGTTTTAATTCTTATCCTTTGAAAGCTGGTTTTAATTAATCAACCAGTTTTAATTTTTGACAGCACACAAATTAATCTCCGCACTTCCGGTTTCCTTACAGATCTGCTCAAGATAACGCTAGTTTAGTGGACTTGTGCATATAATCATACATATTGAAGGCCGACACTTCGGGGCCTGATTTTCAGGGCTCACAAATTAAGTTTCTTAGCCCGCTGCAAATTTGAGCCGATGCGCATAGTTTCTCTTAGGGATGAGTATGGGATTTCGATTGTAGGGCTACCACCGTCTGAAAAAAGATGCGAATTCACTTACTGTGGATGTTGCAAGGCTGGCTTTTCCTACCGTTATAAATGCCAGTTGTTTTCAGAATGTTTTTATGATGAATGGCTGCTTTAAAGGGATTCAAAAGTTGCTATAAATTCTGCATCACCCTACCTTTATCGAATCAGTTGATCGGATTGTGGAGTGTTTTGTGTTTTTTTTTTTT